TTTTTTTTTTTGGTGGGATGAGTTGGAATGGCCACATCATTTATTTTTGTCAACTTGGTAATTTTTTGTGTGATATGTAATGTTTCTTTTGTATTTGACCATCAATTAACGTGAAAAATTAACAGAAGGACCAAATCGGGATAAAAATGATAAACAGTAGATATCAAATCAGGGATTTTTTAAGTTTAGGGACGAAATCAAGGATCCGTACAATAGTTTAAGGACCAAAATGAGGTTTTAACCTTTCAAAATGTACTGTTTAAGATCTTTTTAAGGTTAAAAAAATTTAAAAATATAAATTTTTAAGAGGAAAATTTAAATTTATGAAACATGAATAGTATCAAAAAGCTGAAATTCTTATAAACTTCACCAACCATGCCCCTTAACCAAACAAAAATCTCATTCAAAGAAGACAATAAAATAGCATTGGAACCTCCGAGTTCTAGTTTATTCCAAATCAGTTTGGTTCTATTCCTAGATTTTCTTTTTAACTTATCCTTTTACCTTGTTACTTTGTCATACAACTTGGGACTTGTTTTCTGATTTCAATGTTGAAAACAAACCAAAATATACAACAGTAAGTAATTAACAGCATTCGTAAGCAATAATCAAACAGGAGAATGCGTGTTACGTGCCTGGAGATGGGTTTCTGTAGTTGATAGGGGCAATTCCGAGCGTTACCAGGTTTTCCTTCTTGGATTGGATCCCTTGTCCTTGCAGAGCTGATAGATGGAATGAATATGTAGCAGCAGCACACCCACACAAGACCTTTTATATCATTTGCTTTTACTCTTTAAAGCTTGGTTGACTGCAGAATTGAAACGACCTTGGAAATGGAGGCTTCGAGTTCCTGTTGTGGATTAGTTCTGCCGTTAATGTTCTGGCCATGCAATTAATTGCTTTGGATTTCATTGCCTGACAGACTCACATTCTGACTGCCAACCACAAGCCTTGGTGGCTTGGACCTGGGTTATGACGTGTTCTGTTCATGGGATATCATGAACAATTCAGAATTCAATCCATGCATTTATTGCGAACCCAGTACGGAACATTGAACTCTAGAATACAAGCAATTTCGAAGCACAATATTGTTTATTTCCCTTTTTGAGAGTCATCTGCTTCACTTAAACCTGATTCCTGAGAGGATAATTTAATAACACGTGAGTCAATATCCAAAGTTACAGACACATACTGCACTCTACAATGAAGAATCCAATCCTATATATAGGCGGTTAGAGTTTGCTCTTGCTCTTTCTTGAGATACTACCCAATGCCTTGGCCTTCTGCCTAAGGGCAAATTTCTGTGTCTTTCCTGTTGCAGTTTTCGGCAAATCTTGGAAAATCACATCTCGTGGAGCCATAAAATGAGGCAAATTGTCTCGACAATACTTGATAAGTTCTTCAGCACTGGCATTGCATCCATCCTTCAACTTCACGAATGCACAAGGCGTCTCCCCCCAGTAATTATCCGGTTTTCCCACTACAGCTGCCTCAAGCACGGCTGGATGGCTAAAAAGCACAGATTCCACTTCAATCGAACTAACATTTTCTCCCCCAGAAATAATAATGTCCTTTGAGCGGTCCCTAAGTTCTATGTAACCATCAGGATGTCTCACTCCCAAGTCCCCAGTTCGATACCACCCACCTTTAAAAGCATCTTTTGTTTCTCTGATATTTTTTAAGTATCCGTTCATGACAGTGTTGCCTCTGAACATAACCTCACCCATGGTTTTTGCATCTGTTGGTACACTCTTCATGGTAATAGGATCTTTAACATCAATTTCCTCCATGCCAACATGGTGCAAACCCTGCCTAGCCTTGATTTTGGCCTGTGTCTCTCGAGGAAGAGAATTCCATTCAGGTTTCCATGTGCAAACTGTTGCAGGGCCATAGGTTTCTGTCAATCCATACGCATGAATCACCATAAATCCTAGTTCTTCCATCTTAAAAAGAACCTGTGGTGGAGGTGGTGCACCACCTGTCATCACCAGCACCTTCCATGGAACCAGTGCTTGGTCACTAGATGGTGCATTTATCATCATATTCAGAACCGTTGGTGCACCACCCATGTGGGTCACCTTATACTGAGTAATACTGCCAAATATTCCTTTTGCGGTGACATTCCTTAAGCAGACATTTGTTCCCCCTTGTGCAGCCACAGCCCATGTCATGCACCATCCATTGCAGTGAAACATGGGAACAGTCCATAGATAGACAGGCATAGATCCCATTTCATTAAATAGAACATCTGCCAGAGAATTAAGATAGGCACCTCTATGGCTGTAAACAACTCCTTTGGGGCTTGATGTTGTGCCAGATGTATAATTGAGCGAGATTGGTTCCCATTCATCTTCTGGCCATCTGATCTCAAAATCTGGTTTTCCCATTCCCAAAAGGCTACCATAGTTTGTAGATGTGGAAATAGTTTTGCTGTTGATGGAAACTTGCTGATCACATTCACGGATTAAGACTAGCTTAGGGAATTTGGTCCCTGTCTTGGATAGCATTTCTAATGCTTCATGTGCAATTTTGAGAAATTGGAAGTCTACAAAAAAGATTTTGGCCTCAGAATGCCTTAGTAGCACTGCAACCAAGGCTGAATCAAGACGTATATTAACTGTGCAAAGAACTGCCCTGGCCATTGGAACTCCAAAATGTAGTTCATACATTGCTGGAATATTTGGGGCCAATGCAGCAACCTGCTCAAACAAGATCAAGTTGATCATAGACTCATAAGTTCAAACAGTGATTTAGGACATGCACTGTATGTGGATCAAAGAATTAGACAGTGCCTTGGTCCTTCAGGAAGAGAGTGAAACTTTTAAAAATGCAAAGCATCACATTGGAAAGAAGGGGGGAAAAAAACAGAGCACAAGTTCAACAACTTCAAGCAAATCCATCTGTCAGACACATTTGTCAGTCTCCCATACAAAAAATTGCAAGCTTAAGATTATTTTATGAAAGGCATAAAAAACAAAGGGGATTAGTCCATAATCTGTCCTTAAAGTCTGATATTTATGCAAATTTGGTGAACCTGACAAAGGTAGTTTAACACATAACATGGGCAAGTGAAAGGCAAAATGCAGGGGCTCTCAGGTAGGTAAAGCATGTACCCATTTCTTGAATTTTCAAAGCATAGGTTAATTAAAAATAAAGAAGTTCCAGGGAAATCCGATTTTAGCAGAAGTGAAGCTGCTCTTCTTTAACAATTACAAATCACTAGGGATAACTCAACGCACACACAAAATCAAATCAATGCATAACAACATACAGCCTTTTCACTTTTCAGCTTAAAAAGATATATCCTACAAAATCCAACGAGCTGAGTTAAAATCCCTTCGTTACCCATCTTGGAAGAATGCCTTTAATGGAATCCTCTGCCCCATTGCAGTCCCTCAGCAAAAACACTTCAGAAAAAAATAAAATAAAATAAACAAACTCCTAAGGCTAAAACTAGAAAAACAGAGGCAAAGGCTAGAGAGTAGAGAGTAATAATACTTCTAATTTGAGCAAGGGAAAAGAATTTAAGTCAAAGAAATACCAAACAAGTAAACAATTCAGGAATATTTTGAAATTCCGATATTCTGTTTTCCGGGGAACGAGGAAATGATACAATTATGGGCCATTTATCATTGAATAAATTAAGCAAAAACAAGTACATGCACACATATCTACCAATTCTTGATTAATTCTTAATTAATTAATGAAGAAATTGACCAATAATTAAAATTATTAGAACAGAAACAGAGCAGAAAAGAGTGAATTTCCTCCTTTTTTCATGAGTCTAGCAAAAGCAAACAGAAACTTGAATGTAATTCCAGTTCTAGGAAGATTGCAGAGAAGAACCATACCACGTCTCCACGGGAGATTCCAAGTTGAACAAGAGCGGAGGCGAGCCTGACGCATCTGTCACGGGTCTGTGCCCAGGTGTACCTTACATCGCCGTAGACGACGGAGAGTCTGTCTCTGTAGACGATCGCGGAGCGCTCCAGGAAGCTGATCGGTGTCAAAGGAACGTAGTTGGCGGCGCACTTGATCGTTCCTTCCATTTCTTCTTCTTTTTCGTTTGTAAACGCTCCGGCGACGGGATTGCAACGCTCCCATTGGATTGTTGACCTATTTAAGCGCCGTGCTTTCGGGAGTTTCAGTTTTTTTATAGGCAAAAATATGACATAAGGACCCGAACTTACACCAAATTCGCAATTTCGGACCCAAACTTTGATTGCGCTCAATGAAGGTCC